GCACTCTCGCCTGCATTTCGCGCCCTCGACACGCACGATCTCCGCAGAGGGTTGCTCCGGACCGGGACAAATCGCACTCTCGCCTGCATTTCGCGCCCTCGACACGCTCGATCTCCGCAGAGGGTTGCTCCGGACCGGGACAAATCGCACTCTTGCCCGCATTTCGCGTATCCGACATGCACGATCTCCGCAGAGGGTTGCCCGCGGCCGGGACAAATCGCACTCTCGCCTGCATTTCGCGCATCCGACGCGCACGATCTCCGCAGAGGGTTGCGTTTCGTGGCGGTCCGGCACTGCCCCCGGCCTTAAGAGAGAAAGTTAAGAAGAGCGAGAGGTGAAGATGTGAGATGTAGATGACAAGAGGTAAAGATGTGAGATGTAGATGTGAGGATGTGAAGATGAGCAGAAATGTAGATGTGCAGATGTGAACATGAGCAGAGATGTAGATGTGTGAAGATGAAGATGAGGAGAGATGTCGATGTGAGGATGTGAAGATGTGCAGAGATGTAGATGTGCAGTTGTGAATGTAGATGTGAAGATGAGCAGAGATATAGGTGAGAATGTGGATGTGCAGAGGTGAAGATGTGAAGATGTACAGCGTGGTGGCGTGGCAGGTTTTTTGTGAGCTGCGCCGATACGCCGATACGCCGATATCGGGTCTGGGGGGATATCGGTGCGGCGCCGATACGCCGATATCCGGGTCTGGGGGGATATCGGTGCGGCGCCGATACGCCGATATCCGGGTCTGCGGGGATACCGGCGCGGCGCCGATACGCCGATATCCGGGTCTGGGGGGGTATCGGTGCGGCGCCGATATGCCAATATCCGGGTCTGGTGGGATATCGGTGCGGCGCCGATACGCCGATATCGCCGATATCCGGGTCTGGGGGGATATCGGTGCGGCGCCGATATGCCAATATCCGGGTCTGGGGAGGTATCGGTGCGGCGCCGAGGCGCGGCGCCGATACTCCGATATCCGCGGGGGGGGGTATCGGCGTGGCGCCGATGCGCCGATATCCGGGTCTGGGGGATATCGGCACGGCGCCGATACGCCGATATCCGGGTCTGGGGGGATACTTGGTTGCCGGCTTCTCCTTGTTGAAGTTATAACTTAGGTGATGGAAGTTACCAAAGTTGTGTTGAAGGCAAGGAACGCGGTTTGAATTCCAACCTCATAACTTCTACAACTTCTATAAGTTACTTTTAACTTACAATAAGTTTTCAGGTTTTTGATTTTTTTGAATTAATATTTGTATATGTATATTCGAAGTAAAAATTGACAGAACGCTTGTTGTATGAGTGCGTGCGGCCCAGAAGCGCCGCATTTAAGCTCCAGATATAACTTTATCATCTTCATTCATAACAAAACTCTGCCCAATTTTGTGCCATGGAGTTTAGGGTTTATAAGGCTATACCGACGCAAGCTAAAGCTCACCCGAAATTTGTTGGAGACTGGTTGTTGGTGATGTTAATTGGTTGACAGCGGTATCTTTCAGTCCGGGACCGAAAGATACATGCATCTCTATGTATCTTTTGAACCCGGTCTGAAAGATACATAAAGATACATTTAGATACATTTTGAGTCCGGGGCCAAAAGATACATGTATCTTTATGTATCTTTTGAACCCGGTCTGAAAGATATATAAAGATACAAAAAGATACATTTAGATACACCTTCATTAATAACTAAACACTGCCAATTTTTTGCCATGTCACCCGCAAAATTTTGAGCACCAGTTAGGTTCAGAAATCTTGCAACCTAAAGCTCACCCGAGAAAAAGTTTGATTACCAGCTAGGTTCAGAAATCTTCCATCCTAAAGCTTGCCCAGAAACTTTAATTGGGCCAAGAAACCTTGCAACCTAAAGCTCACCCGAAAAAATAAGCGCCCGTTAGGTCCAGAAATCTTGCAACCTACAGCTCACCCGCAAAACTTTGAGCACCAGTTGGGTTCAAAAATCTTGCAACCTAAAGTTCACCCAAAAAAAATGAGCACCAGTTAGGTCCAGAAATCTTGCAACCTAAAGCTCACCCGAAAAAATTTGAGCACCAGTTAGGTCCAGAAATCTTGCAACCCAAAGCTCACCCGAAAAATTTTGAACACCAGTTAGGTCCAGAAATCTTGCAACCCAAAGCTCACCCGCCAAAATTTTGAACACCAGTTAGGTCCAGAAATCTTGCAACCTAAAGCTCACCCGCAAAGATTTGAGCACCAGTTAGGTCCAGAAATCTTGCAACCCAAAGCTCACCCGGAAAAAATTTTGAACACCAGTTGGGCCAAGAAATCTTGCAACCTAGAGCCGCAGAGGCAGCACACAGCGCCGCCAACGTGCGGCCCAAAGAGCCGCAGATGACGTACAACACACACACAGTTACTATATATATATATGTATACATATATACACGCAGTAACGCAACGTCTGGCGAACACGCATGAAAATGTTAGAAAACAGCAAAAAACTGTTTTCCCACAAACTTGAACACGAAACACGACAAGTTTGGTAACTTAAATAAGTTTTCAGGATTTCATATTTTTGGGTTCTGTCGTTGAGGCTCAAAAACTTATGGAAATTATAAATAGTTATAACTACTTATAAGTACAGTAACTTAATTATATCTTCGATAACACAAGTTAGCGGAGGTTAGAATGTTACAGAGTGATAAGTGGCGTTTTAAAAGGCCATAACTGACTTATAACTCAGATACAAGTTCTGCATGTAGAAACCGGCAACCAAGTCAATACGCCGATACATCCGGGGCAGGGAGGATATCGGTGATACGCCGATATCCGGGTCTGGGGGGATATCGGTGCGGCGCCGATACGCCGATATCCGGGTCTGGGGGGGTATCGGTGCGGCGCGGATACGCCGATATCCGGGTCTGGGGGGGTATCGGCGTGGCGCCGATACGCTGATATCCGGGTCTGGGGGGATATCGGTGTATCGGTGTATCGGTGCGGCGCAGATTTGGAACCCGCGGTGCCGGCACAATGGAAGATGTAGATGAGACGTAGTTCTGCAGATGTTTTTTACGAAGAACCCTTCGCAGGCGCTCTCGGGAACAAAAAACAATTGAAAAAAGATGAAGTAATTTTTGGAGTACCAAGGAGCCTCGAACTTTTATGTCTTGAATAACTGCCAGGGCACTGGGCCTCAGTGGGAGCTCTCATCAATTTAACAAGTGTAGCGTCCAACTACAGTTTCCTTCTGTTGGTGAATTGACAGCATCTGTATACTGTATACTCACGTCTCCTGAGCCTCTCCGGTATTGAGTGGTCGGCCAGTCTTGTCGCTTGTTGTGCACCCCAAGGATGGTCATATAAGCACCTTAGCTGAGGGCTAGAAGGAGACCTTTTGCGTCTAGGTTCACAGCCAGCCCTTTCCACTCAAGTGGGACAGTCTTTTTCGGACAAAATCCATTGCAGTTGGCTATCTTGGATACTCTGCATTGACAGCAGGCTAGGCTAGTGCAACTGTGCAATCTCTGAGGCTTACTCTCAACCTGCGACAGCTCGTTCTGTACTCCGACTTTGGCGAGGGATTCAATGAGCACGAATCACATACAGTACAAGCTCTCATGGTCCATGTCCTGACCGATGCAAAACTTACTGTAAATATATATATACACATATATACACCAATAACTAATAACACCGAGTATATATATATAAACAAGTATATATATATATATAACGCCAAAACAAAGAACATACTCTGGAATATTTTTGGAATATTTGGGGTACTCCCAAGTTGCATGAGGCATGAGCCGGTGTGTCGCAGGATCGACATGTTGGATCGCTACTCGCCTCAAAGATGCTGAAAGCGCATCACGAGGCAGGACAGTCTTGCGCTCTCCGTCTGACGAAGGCTCTACGCGGATCAACAGCAGGCGGCCACAGTCTGAATCCAGTTTAAACAAGCCTGTTGGATGCTGCTTTCCTGCAGGGGTCGTTTCTCTGTTTATCTTTTTAGTTTTTGGTTCCCTAATGTTCCCTACCTTGATTAGATCTTCAGTGGGTACACGAAGTCTTATTGTACCTTGTGGTGAGTCTCTCCATGCAAACCGCATGTTGCTCACGATACAACACTACCCGGACTCTTCACTTCGTGGCACAGATTTGAAGAGTGGTGACTTCAAAATGAAGAAACAAGTGATTCACAAGAAGCTACTAGGAACAAGGGCATCGCTAGTAGTAGCAAGAAGTTGGGGGCTCCTGGCATCGCTACTAGGAACAAGGACGCTGGGCCCAGGAAACTGCATTGAAAAATATTGAAAAACTGTCCAAACAGCTTCACATGGACCTATCGTGGGGACATGGTGCGCTGTGGCCATGAAAATGCTTGGAAATACCAGGTAACATTGGATCAATGAGCGTAAATCAAAAATAATGACACGTGCGGCATAATTACAAGCCACACCAGGAGGTAGCACTAGAAATCCAAATCCTTCAAATGTTGTAATGATGAGTGACTTTAGGAGGAAGAAAACATTTCAGCATTCTCAACCAGGCACTAGAAAATTGTAGCTTCTCGCATTTCATATGAAGCATCTTCTGGGCTTGCTTTGTGCATCCTGCCGAGCCTTGTCAGGCCATTAATTCTGCAAATGGTGCTCAAGGGAGCCAAATTTTGCACATAAACCGAATTTAGTAGTAAAGTAAAGTCTCAACCGTGCATGGCGTAAATCCGCGTTAAAAAACAATTCAGAGGCGAGAGCAAAGTGCCAGCGAGATGACAAAGGCATCAATCATGCTGACTCCGCTGGAAGTGCTTTCATGGACACAGCTGCGGTTCTCGGCACCTGGCCAAGCTCAAAAAGTTCAACGAGCTGAGTCAAGCGAGTCAAGATTCTCTTTGTTTTTTCTTTACCTTGCCTTTCTGTCCATGTTTGCCTTGTTCTCTAGACCTTTCTTTCTCCTTCCTTCCTACACCAGGATGGATTGCAAGACACACACCGTGACACCTCTTGAGTGAAATCCGATGCCAAGAGTGTTGCCTCAGCCAAGAAGTCTGGGAGTCCCTACAGGTAGTCAGTTCCTTCTCCACTGCGTATTGAAATGAGTGGTGATCATGGTCTATTCTGTAGCGAGTGTGTTGTAGTCTTCCAACTCTACATCTTTGATGTGTTCGTTTTGGTGAGTGGAGTGTTGTTTTCTTAGGGGAAGAACTAACAGAATTTGTTTTCATCCCATGACCACGCCTTGACTTCTTATCATATCACACACATTTGTTTTGACCCGGTTCTCCACCTTGATCTGAACAAACTCAGCTGCTCGCCAATAACTTCCTTGCTGATTTCATGGCTTGCTCCTGCGCTTTTGCGATTCAAAGAAAACTATGATGGATACTGGATACTGGATTCTCTACATTGCAGCATGTTCAATGGGCAAACAATAAAGGCAAACGCATAGGTTGAAAGGAAAAAATGACTCTAACTCTGTAAGGGCCGAAACATTGGCATGGCTCTAGCTGCTCCAAACTCCCCGCAAATCATCTATGAGTATGGGCATGTGCTTCCAAGACCTCGCAGGGGAGCAGACTAGGGTACATATTGGCATCCCAACACACGCTCTGTCGAATCCTGGCCAACTGTTTCCTTGTCGTACACTTTTGGTAGCCTTGGCCAGCCATACATTCGTTCTTTGCCTTTGTGCAATGCTTCTTTCTGAGGAGACTAGCACGCCCCCGTTTTCATGGGACTGGGACGAGTGGAGCTCTTGTTCAAGGCGATTCTGCTCTTCTAAAGCCTCAGTAGACGACTCTTGAGTGTAAAAAACCATTTGCAGAGTCCGCAGAGCCTCGACATCCACTACCCGACCAACCGGTGTGGTAGAGATCAACAACCCACAGGGATTGCGATCCAGAAGGTCGGATTTCTGGGACTGCATCTGCAGTGATGAGGTGAAAATTCGGGCACAATGTGCTTCCAAGTGATGGATTGCAAAACAACATACAGGCCGGTGGAGAGAACTGAGAACATGGAAGTCTGCGCAGGATGTGCTATGACGTGTGCTTTTTCAAGAGGCACGCAAATGCAAACAAGATGGTGTCCCACCCGTTCTTTTGCATGTGTTGGTCAGAACTTCTCCGCGGTTCCAAGTTGTACGTCCGGCAGGGTGTGCTAAATAAACCTTTGGCATGATATATGTCCACCCATGTCATGCCCAAAGTTCTGTTCCAACCTTTGTTGGAAGCCTCGTCCCAGGAATATGTTCTAAAGTCACCATGTGCGACCTTTGGCCACAGAAGAATCCTGAAGGGTCACCAAAAGCAACGCTGCAGAGGGGCCCAGAACAGTCGTGCACAACCGACTCACCCGGCAATTTCGTTCTACCTCGAGGACACTAGGACATCCAGGCTATTCAAGGAGGGGACTCAGCAGAAACAAAGCACAAGGTCCGAACTTGTTGTTTGTTTGTTTGCTTGTCCTACTATTTTGTCATACACTGTATCATACTATTTATTACTATTTTGTCCTCAGCTGCAGGCCAAGCGGTACTCTCGCTGGAGCAGCTCCACCTGTGCAAGCATCAGTCTTGTTTCACGGTTTCACAAAGAATTCACAAAGGCTCACCTACCTCGTCTCACATTCACTTCGTATCAAAGTCGCAAACCAATTTGTTCTGTAACACTGTACCCAAAGGTTTCAATTTGTTGAACATGTGATGTAATCTTTGTGTTTGCTGATATTCTGCTTTCAAGCGTCCCACAGAACATCTGTGGGGCATAAAGCTGAATACATCCTGTTCCAGCCTTGCGCTCAAGCCCGTCGCGCGATGTATCCTCACGAAGGGCTTCCTGCAAACTTGAAGAAACATGAACTGAATATAACTGAAGAAACTAGACAAAATCAACAAACACTGGCATAAACCAAACAAAACAAGATTGTCTAACCGTGGGCGAGTTAGGAAAGGAAGATCCAGTGGTGAATGTCTGCTGGCAGACAGATTACATGGACACTATAGGTTTGTTATGGTTTGTTCTTGTTTCTACTGCAAATGCTCTCTCAAAAATTAAATGCTGCAATAGTCACTCAGTGGGGAGTTGCCATTTGAAACATGTTGAAACTAAATGCGCCTGTGACCTCCAAGGGATAGACAAGCATGTCTCTATCTGATAGATAGCTGCAGTCTAGTCCAGGATTCGCTTCCCCCAAAACGTGCTTTTGCACTCAACTCCTGTCGCAAATGGGCAGCCTCGAGTCGCAAGGCCTCACACCAGTCTCCAGTCTGTGTGGGTGTACGTTCGATAGTGTCCCTTGGCCCTCCTGTGCGCTCGAGATGACAGTGTGCTAAATATATATATACTTATATATATATAATTATATACATACATGCTTGGAAGTGAGTGACCAATGACGAATTGTTTCTGATACGATTACCAAGCACTTTCCAGCAAGAGCCAAAGGTCCGCCTTGAATTCGTTATCAGTACCAGCCTCGAGCTCTGCCTCTTCTTCCGGAGACAAAACATCCACCGGCCAGAAAGGCCTTGGAAAAAAAAATGGAGGTTGTGCGAAGGAGAAGCTCCAAAGCTTATGCAGAAGATTGTCACGCATCAGCCTTATTAACTAATAACATACAAGTATCACGTGTCTCAAGTAATGCCATTTGGTCACCCCCAGAAACCAGCGTTTGAAACCGTTGTTGCATGCAAACGTTTCTCGAGTCGCTCAGCAAACAGCACAGCAGCACCAGGTAATCCTGGCTCGGCACGGGTGGTTGGGACATGTTGGGACCGTTCTCGAACAAATTTCTAGTAGCGTCCTTGCTTCTAGTAGTATGGCCAGGAGCCATTAGTAGCGTCCTTGCTCCTGGTAGCGATGCCCTTTGTTACTAATTAGTAGTTGTCAACGAGTGACGTGGTGATTTCCGAGTCAAAATGCAGTCTTGACACCTGGGCCCAGCGGTGCAGATGTACGGCGGTCGTTGACACGACGCTCCTGAAGTGGAGATCAGAGATTCTGAGCTGATGCAAAGAGTCACATGCTCCCTGCCTGACATACGCAGCAAACATGGACGGCTTAACGAACAGAAACTGACCACTCACCCTGCCCGAATACTGCGGACAAACAAACCCTTAGAATCAAGAGAGAGTATGGAAATGCAGGAATCATTTCTCTTCTTTTGTGGAGCTTAATGGAGCGTAGATCAGTAGGGTAATTGGATGTAATTAGTATGCCTCCACCTTAGCAAATGAGCACTCCAGCTTGAAGAGTCCTGGCAGTACATCGGTTGCTAAGCACTACGACTATGGAACTACAAGAGATGCTCGACCTTTTGGGAAGAGGAGCTCGGTTGTGGCTTGGTGGATTCAGCGATGACTGCAAACCCACCAGTTTTGCGTTGAACATGGATGTTCTAATATTGGGTTTTGACATGTCTTGACATGCTTCACTTTCAAGCTTTCACAGCGTCAAAGGCCATCGTATGTCAAGATACGCACCATACGGTACGATACTCCAAGGTTGTGTGTTTTAAGTTGCGTGAAAACGTCTTGTTCTGATTGTCCTATCAAATTGCACTGCGAGCCATCGGCTGAATTTTGAGGCAAGCATGAGCTGGGTAAGCCATGCTGGACATGAAGTGCCAAGTGGTGACAGTCATGGTCCATGATACAGTTGGGCATCACACGAATCGAGGGTGTTGCCAGAGAGCTCAATTTCCTCAAGACTAGCAGCTACACGCTGCTTGTAAGGAGCGTCCTTTGCTCCTAGTAGCTTCTTGTTCCTAGTAGTACGGCCAGGAGACCCTAGTAGCGTCCTTGCTTGTAAGGAGCACACTCCTTGTAACACTCCTTGTAACACTCAAGGTCGCCCAAACGTGTCGGAGATGCTCAAAGAAATCCTTTGCCCTGGTGAAGTCCCCAACCTCGGACACAACGCGGTAGGAGCAAGGGCATCGCTACTAGGAGCAAAGGGCATTTCTACTAGGAGCAAAGGGCATCACTACTAGGGGCTCCTGGCCTTACTAGGAACCATGTTTGCTACTAGTAACAATAAATAATTAGAAATAGAATTAGAAGTAAAGTTAATCCAGACGATCCAGTAAGGAGAGGGGTTTGTAATAGCGATGGCCTCCAACCTACTAGCGGCTTGGCCTCCACCTAATAGCATGTGTTTTGTCACCGTACATGTTGTACTTCATTGGTTTCTGTGTCCCTTCTGTGTCATTGTCATTGTCTTCTTTGTCTCCATCTTTGAGGCTCCCCGCCTCAGCTGCAAAACGGATGAGGCAACTGTATGTAATTGCGGTGGTTTCTAGGCCATCCTCCACCAGCCTATCATAGACACCTGCCAGATTCACCGTTGCATGTTGCACGCCAGCTCAAGGATTGGAGGCCCCAACGAAGCGCCAGACGGAATTGTTTTTGGACTGCCAGCTGCTTCATGACCTCAAGCTGCTCCAGGAATTGTTCTTCTAATTTCCTGCACATCAAACAAAACCCCGGTCCTTGCTCTGCACAGGGTGCAATTTCTGCTAGACTGAGAGAGTCCAGTGCACATCTTGCGTCTTCAAGCTCAGATCTCCACACTTTCATAGAAGGCCAGGGAGCGAGGAACCTGTGTCGGCAACACTGACAGCTCTTGGTAGGCTACTGGAACACTGTTGCCTGGTTCTCAACCATGTCATCAATGATGGAATCCAGACTCTGGTGCTTCCCAGTCTAAGTCAGCGGAGATATCGCATGCGCAATACAAGGGAGCACATCCTTCTTGAAGATCATCTTGCCGAATCAAACCAGGCAAGTCATGTCGAGCCAAATGATGTGCAAATCAGTTCTTTGATTCTCAAGACAAGGTCGTGGCCCGAATCACCAGTTGTGCTAATCCAGTGTAGAGTTCGATTGCCGTGTGCCTGGAGAGGAAAGAAAACGGCCAGAACGGCTGGTTGCGGACCACTCAACTGAGGCCAGGAACCCTCTGGCCACTTCTTGCAAGGTCTTACCCCTAAGGCCAACGGCTGAAACCGCTGAAACGTCACGATGCTAAATGGTTTGGGCGATCCTAAATGGTTCATCACAAAACTCAATCCGTTGAGTTCCGGGCGATTTTTGCAACAAATGTCTCAGCTCTGCGTACAAGCCAAGAATCCTACATGCACCAACTATTTCGCGGCAAATCCAATGTACTATGTTGTAATTTGCTTCATCCTTGCAGGTCTAGCAGGACCCCCATGTTCTTGAAGGCATTGCATTACCTGTCCCGAAGTCAGATGGTAAAGACTGCAACATGTTTGCAGAGTATTCGTAGTAGTAGGTTCCAGCTGTAGTTGCTCAAAAACAAAACAGGAACTCTGTCCGAAGCTTTGGTCTCGGACCTCACGCAAAACATCGGCAGGCCTAAGGGCTGGTTTAACTTTTCCAGGCCTTCTTCTAGGGTTTTGGTGGTGCAAAGTCTGGATTCTGTGCTTTCAAAAGTCATATTATACATTTATATATATTATGTATTTATACATAAGACATGTGAATCCTCGCCATACCAAAGAGGACCCGACTGCAAACCTGCTCCTGGCGGTGAGTTCTTCTCATCTCTTCGCCTGGAGGATTCACCAAGACTTTGGACGCCAATGTCCCAGTCGCAAAAATTTGCAAATTAGCTTCTAGCTACTAGTAGTAATGCCCTTCTAGTAGCGTCCTTGCTACTAGTAGTAAGGCCAGGAGCCCCTAGTAGCGTCCTTGCTCCTAGTAGCGATGCCCTTTGCTCCTAGTAGCTATTTGCTACTAGTAGTAATGCCCTTGTTCCTAGTAGCTATGCCCGTGTTACTAGTAGCTTCTAGCTACTAGTTCATAAACAGAGGCACTCATTCGCGGCCTGGACACTGGAGCTCGTGGCAAATCAACTGCCTCCACTGAGCACAGAAGTTGTTGGGTGGTCATGGTACTGGTGTTCATAATAGGTTTGATTTGTATAACATCATTCACATCGTTTGACTAGGCGGCATCTTTCCAATTACTTACCTGACCTGTCCCAAGTGTCAAGCAGCTCACTGAACGTTCCCCAAAGACCCACAGGTCTGCCACAACGGGTGCCTTGTTTTGTGGCGAGATGACCTTGCGGCCTGAAATGAGGAACTGAGCTTCAACTCCAGCTGCCAGCCACTGCTTCTATCTGAAAGACATCATTTCAATCGACACGTCACCACGTTGCATGCATCGTACTTGCCTGGGCCTGCTTTGGGGGAAAAGCCACGCACCAGGAAGGCACAGCAAAGGGTCACAACCTGGCTGCTGACAAAAACAGTGCAGCAAGGGATGGGAATGAACAATGCCACCCAGCTGCCAATTGGTACAAACAGTTCCCGGCTGCAGAATAGCTAAGTTGATGGACAATAGACCAAAACCGGTATGTCTGGTCTGTCACGTGAACCCTGCAATGCAAAGAGAATAGTCTCCCGAAATCCTACGAAAAGGATGATGGCGCATTGATTGCTTGGAGCCTTCAAATGTTGACACCCATCCACCCCCAACCCGATGAGGGCTACCAAAACCATGCCAACAAACTCTCACGGAAGCCGAAAGCCTGCAGCAATTTTGTTTCTCAACTTCCGTGTCATAGACACAGTTCTGAGCTCTGGTTTCCAGTTTTGAACTTACGGCGAACACTCAGAAAAGCGCTTGAACATTCTGTAACTAAGCAGAAATAAACCGCACACACAAGGCCCATAGACCGTCTAGCCATAGACCTAAACTCCGAAACCATTCGGGGGAGAGCATGCCAGGCAGGCGAAAATCACGACCTCGAGGCCAATGGACCTGTGCAAGAGTGAAGACTTGGAGTGTCGAATGACGGTCGAATGATGGTCGAATGACGGTGTCTTCTCGCCTTGATTTTAGTTTACCCTCCAAGGGACTGAAGGGTGTGGAATGCTTTTGTGCTTCACTGTCCTTCTTCCTGTGCAGGAATGCTTTTTTGTGTGTCTTCATTCATAGTTGAAGACTGTGACCCTCCTTGGTTTTGTATCCTACCCTTGTCCTGATTCTGCCTTTGACTGCACCACATGGGTTGTCCCGTCGTTTGTGATCAATTCTTTTGTTGATTCTGCATGAGCATACATGTTTGGGACTCTGCATAGCATCAGGGGTTAAAATTTGATCGAAGCTTGCATCTAGTTCAGGTCACGCAACTTCGGTATAGAGCATACATGCAAGTTTCTTTGGGTGATGCTCTCATGGTACTCGAATACTCGCAATGTTGCCCTTGAGTTTCCTTGTCTGTATTGGTTGTCGGGAGTACCGAGTGGGCACGATGCATCAAGTCAAAGCAGGTGTCTGCTTTGAAAGAATATTAAAGCATATTAAAGCAACTATATATGCTGTTTTGCACTAGGATCTTTAGCTGGAAGCATTGTCCGCCATTCCTGACTATTCCAAACCTGGTTGCCGATGCTGGAGCGTCAGAAGCGGGAATTATCTTGCATTCCATACAAACAATGAGGCTACGGTGTGGTTACTGACCCTTGGGCCCTTGGGTTTTCTAGGCTTTCAAAACATTGCAGGCATGAAACTTCTTCTGTGGACCATTGATGGGGTGTACTTTTTCAAAAGTTTCCAGTGCCTATCTAGGACTTGAGTGCCAGTGCACTTGGCTTGGCTTTTTTTTGGCCGAGAAATCTTCTTGACAAACTGCATGTCCCTATGCATCACATTGGCATGTTCAATGCCCAAATCTTTGCCACGTTGGACCTAGACTTTGCACAATCTGAATGTATGCACGCAGCACAAAATGCCGGATGTCTCAGCTAGGAGCCGAAACCGTCGAACGACGCGCACGTACCCTCTGTCATAGAACACACCAGGTGGCCAGGTGGCACGTTGTCTTTCTTACAAGTCGAACGTCAATAGCTCCCCCGCCTAACCCACCCCACCCTCATGGTGGGCATATATTACGATATTATGCCCTGCTCATGTCATCTAAAACTGAAGCAAGAACAAACCATGTCGAACCAAACAGAAACAGCGATCCGAAAATAGCAAGTTTCTATGGAGTTGCCAACAGGGCCGTTCGCACAAACAAGCCCGGCCCCTTAGGTTAAAAAATGTGTTTGAGGTATGAGTTCTTGTGCTTCCCTGGGTCAAATCCATTGGATACAAATCACAGGTTCTGAGATTTGAGTATATATATATAACTCTTTCAATTTGGAGACTTGGCTTTCTCAAGATCTCACACCTTGGCTTCTTGATGACATTTGATGAGCATTTTGGTCGTTTGTCACACGAAAGAAGGCCTCCATAAGTCTTCCAGAAACTCCATGTGTCGCGTAGAAAGCATCATGTGTCGGAGAGGTCTCAGTGAGCCAGGCTCAGCTCAAAGACCCACAAGCCGACTGCATCTCTTAATTGAGGTGAGTGCAAGGTCTGAATAAGCACTTGATCAAGGTCACGGCCTTGCAAAGTGTTTTCGGGCAACACTCTAGACCGTGTTGCCAAAGTGGCTTCAAATCAAGCTTCGTCGGCAAACAAATCATTGTAGCGAAAGCTACTCTGACAGCAGGCCTTGAGGGCAAAATAGGGGTAGTAGTAGAACGCGGCGCGAGCGCCAAGCGAAGTAAGAGACGTGATTGGGCTGAGCCACACCGGCGGAGCACAACATTAAGGAACCTATGAAAGAACTAACTATCTGCCGAGGCTGTCAAAGCGTGTGTTTTTGTCTATGCTCGCCCTGTCTTTCTGTGTTTCTTTCTTCCTTTCCTTTCCTTGCTTACTTGCTTTCTTCCTTCCTTCCTTCCTTTCTTCCTTTCTTCCTTTCCTTGCTTCCTTCCCTTCCTTTACATTTTTATGCAGCCTCTGAACTAGTTGTGCTTGTCTCCCACACTTGTGTGGCATTGAAGCACCTTTTGACCGAGTATTGCCTGCACTACCAGTGGTCGTTGCCACCAGCTCAATAAATTGTGAAACTGGATGCAGCGAATTCAAGCTACAAAAGTTACTAGACTGCATCGTTCTCATACCCCTTTTTTGCTGAAATACACTTGGAGTATGTTGCCAACAATGGTCAACGTCGTGCAACCAAGAATGATTTTAGGGCGGCCCTCTCGGCTTCTGCAAGTATTGAGGGTAAAAGAAAACCTCAGTCGTGGTGCAGCTCGTGCAGCAGTTTTCGTCGATAACCTTCAAGTCTTCCAACCCAATAAGACACCCTTTGAGTTGTGAACGGCATCGGCAACAGACAAGGTCTCTTGTGAAGCAGGGACTTCCTTGAACTCCTGCAGGACATATCTGAGAAGCATTGAGAAGCCTTTTCTGAAACAGAACACAGCTCGGTCCGTCCTTCCCACCAGAGTCGTATCTAAGACACTGCGTCACCATGCGTTCTTGAAGGGACCTGGCATTAGATCTATCTGCAAAAGTATCGCACGATCCACAGAAGCATCGAAAAATCTACGTCTGGTTCTGTCTCCAAATCAGTCGGAATGACACTGGTGAAGGGAGCAACTGTAAGACTCTTGTCCAAGAGCCCTGAGAAAGCGACTCACCACATTGCAAAGGCGTGACTGAAGCACACATGGACAATCATGGATGTGACATGAGGCATCCATCAGAACAGCATGTGACCACAAAAACAGAGTCACCTCGGAAAAGCCGTAAAGTGCTCGGAGGTCATGTCGGCCTGAACACTTTGCTTCCAGAATACTGGGCCATCAAACTCTATATTAATTAGCCCAGCTGGAGACCACAACAGCAAGATACAAACCGGGGCAAAAAGAAAAATCTGGAAACAGCTGCTGTTTTCAACACATCGACCATCTCTTCCTTGGACACCATCATCACATAACCGGGACACCATCACAAAATGACCAGGGCACCATCAAAACATGACCGAGACACCGTCACAACATGACTGGGACACATTCAAAACATGACCGGGACACCATCACAACATGACCGGGACACCATCACATGACCGGGACACCATCAAAACATGACCGGGAC